TATGGCATTGTTTCAGTTCTCACATTCTTTGGAAATTGAGAACCTACCTACAGATTTGGCAGGCTCACTTTAAATGTGAACTGTATCAATTTTTCCTCCCATCCCTACTCCTGAGTAAGCTTTGCAGTCATGGGAAAAGAGGACAGAGTCTCTCAATTACTAAAGAACTGGAAGCAGGGTGTAGGAATAAATGGGCAGTTCTCAAACATCAAGGTAGTATGCAAGAATTGGTATCATCCAAGGATCATTTTGAGAACTGTACCTTTTAACTTGTTAACAGATGAGCAGAAGTTAGGGAGATGTTGACCCAGAGTGCAACGGCTGTGAAAAAAGGTGAATTCAGTGCTAGAGATAATTAGCAAAGGGATTAAAAATAAAACTGGGAATATCTTAATGCCATTGTACAGATCTACGGCCTGACTACACTTGGAATGCTGTGCTCAGTTCTGATCACCACATATAAAAATACATATACTGCTGGAAAAGGTGCAGAAGGCAATCATTTTAACAAGGGGGTGGAGATAAAGGTTACAATGTTTAGGCGTTTTTAGTTTGTGTGGGGGTGAAATCTGATGGAGGGCAAGCACATGATAAGAACTGAGTAAGACTGTGCATTGGTACGAAGAAAGTGGATGGAGAGAAGTTTTTTTTCTCACTCACTGATAATTCTAGAAACTGGGATCATCCAGTGAAGCTGAATGAGTGAAGATTCAGGACAGACAAAACAAAGTACTTCTTCACACAGTGCATAGTTAAACTCTGGAATTCACTGTCACAAGATGTAGCAATGTCCACCAACCTGGACAGCTTTAACAGGGAATGAAACAAATTCATGTATGATAAGACTCTTAATTGGCTACTATTTGTGATGCGTATATTATATCCGATGTAAGAGGCAAGTTTGCCTCAGAATATCAGTTGCTGCAGTTCACAAGCAGCAGAGTACCGCTGTGTTCACGTCCTGTTTGTGTGCTTCCCACAGGCACCTGGTTGGCCACTGTAAGAACAGGATACTGGACTATATTGTCCTTTGGTCTGATTCAGCATGACTCTTCTGCTCCTGTGACCCTGTGAAGGTTGCATGGGAGGATTGAGAAGGGATACATATTATGCAGCTGGTGTGGAGATTTCTCCAAGTACAGCCAGTGAGCTAGTTTAAATTATACATAGGGCAGGAGAATATTTTGATATACAGTGGTACCTCGCAAGACGAATGCCTCGCAAGACGAAAAACTCGCAAGACGAAAGAGTTTTTCGTTTTTTGAGTTGCTTCGCAAGACGAATTTCCCTATGGGCTTGCTTTGCAAGACGAAAAACGAAAACGTCTTGCAAGTTTGTTTCCTTTTTCTTAAAACCGTTAATACCCAGGGTGACTTCGAGGAGCAACTCATAGCATGCGGTGTGGTAGCCTTTTTTGAGGTTTTTGAAGACTTTGGTGATTTTGAAGACTTTGGGAAACCATGCTTCGCAAGACGAAAAATTCGCAAGATGAAAAAACTCGCAGAACGAATTAATTTCGTCTTGCAAGGCACCACTGTAAGCCATCAAGATGCAAACCATCAATGTTGTACGATCCAAAGTAATTCCATATCAAAAAATGTAATTTAATATGTTATTGAAATTATAATTTGCATGTTGATGATTGTAAAAAAAGTTGTTTCCCAGTCTTTATAAAAAGTATTTCTGAATTAGTGACAAAGTTTGATACTGGTCATATGAACAGCAACCAGAAACAAGACTTCAACATTTACTTAGAATAAAAGGAAGGAGGAACACTTAACTTGTTTTGCACCATTAACATCAGGGAAAAAATGAAATGTTTATTGGCCTGGCTGGGGAAACCCAGCCAGATGAGTGGGGGTATAAATAATAAAATTATTATTAATAATAATAAAACAAATGCAAATACAGGCATTCAGCATGCACACACACAACCCACCTTGTTTGTTGTTACCGTCCTACATTTGGGTCTCTTGTTACACAATCTCATCAGAAGTTCTTCCTAACCTCATCAATTCAAAGATATTGGAATTAGCATGGAGTAGCAAACCAATATCCAATGAAAGGATACTGTACTATTCTCAATTCAATAGTCTGTCATACATTCTGCTTCTTTGGTACACTTCCTATACTATGAGATGTTCATCCAAGTCATAAAGAAAAATGTAGTAAACCCACATAGAATCAAACTCTCCTAAAGACCATAGATATATATCATGTGATTTAAAAGAAGAAGCAAAACTGAGCTCTTTAAAACAGTGTCACAGCTAAGCAATTTTTTTTAATCTCTCAGAATTCAAGTACTTTGTGCTAACATGGAGGTAAAGCTATCCTGGCTGGACAAAACATGGGAGAATGAGTCCTTTTTCTCCCATTTCTATATTGGTTTATTACTATAACCTTCAGGCAGAAAGGAACATTTCCCATGATCATATTGACATGCAAATGAAGGCGAAAGAGAAAACAAGCCAGTTTTCAAAGAGAGAACAACATAAGATCAGAGATTCTAAAGCAATGAGCCCCATCTCTCCATTTGGTAATTCATCTTATCCTAATTAGCTTTGAGTGGGAGAAAACACAGTAGAGGTAGAAAAGCTGCTTAGGGCATATGAAAATTCAGAAGCATCACTGACACTAGGATTTACCACCAAGAGTGGCTAGTATATTAAAGCACTTAAGACCTCCCCCACCCCAAAGACACACAGCTGTCCATAAGTGCAGATAGCACCTCAAACCCAGTTCTATTCCAAGCCATTTTAAACAAATCAAACACTGTGTCTGATTAAATATCCAGATGCAAACAAAATCACTGTTCAGTCACTTTGATGTTTCAAGCAATGGTCATTGCGAAGTGCCACTTTGGATCTCAAGCAATGCTATGTAAAAACACACTAAAATTCAGCATTAGCTTCTACAGGGTGCAGCAGCCAATCTCTTTATTTAAAACACACGCACACTATTTTTGCTAAGTTCTGTTGTGTCTGGGACTTCAATATCCTTCAGTAGTTCTTTTTATAGGAAGCATTTAAGATGAGATCAAAGTAATTTCTGCCTACATTAATATTTGGATGAATAAACAACCTACCACGGCAACATGCATATCCCTGTAAGCATCAACTTACTTGGGTTCTTGTGCTGTAGATTTATGTGCTTAGATCTAAATCCAGCAAATACATGTGTTTCAAAATACATTACCCAGTGGCTTGAAAAAGATGTTTGCAGCAGACACCACAATTTGCATAACCTAATCTGCTCACAAAATTCTGTTTAAATCTGTGAGGAATATGCTCACTTAGGATGGAGAGAGTCTGCTAACAGGAAACAGAGTTGATTTAAATAATATTTGTCCAGTAACTATTAAAAGGTGAATACAAACACTATAAGTTTGGTAGGGTGCAGGTGGCAGACAAAAAGACCAATCAATAGCAGACATGCTTTCCATATCATATTTAACACTGACTACCTTACTGGGTTGTTGTAAGGATTCCAACCAAGTCATGTATGTGAAGCATATAAATATGATCTACTTAATATTTAAAGTATGCTTACATTTCATAATTAAAAAGTCTTCAGATGTGCAACTCTTACAGTGACCCTGAAAGGCAGCATTATCAACATCTTCATAGGAGGTTGAGAAAGAATGGCTTGCCGAACAACACCTAGTGACTTCATGGCAGAGAAAGCTGTAACTGAGGACTTCCCTATTCATAGCTCTGTCTCTTACACACCAGCTTGCCATGTAAATTTACACTCCTTATAGTACCAATCTGAAGAGGCATATAATTGAATTAAGTCCACAAACAAATCAATTTTGCTTCAGATTGATCACTTACGCAGTAAACAGAGAACCACCTCTGTTCCCCAGATGCTTCCGTAATCACTAGAGATTGCACATAAAGAGAGATGAAGGAAACTGCTCAGGTAAGACACCTTTGTTTGCACAAATGTGCCACGCAGGTTAACTAATCCCCGAAACGCATCCACGCCAAGTGGACTTGAATGGGAGATTTAAAGAATCATAGACTTCTACTGCAGATTAAGTTGTCCCTTGCCACCATTCCAGCTGCTTGTCAGTCATAACTGGAAGGACTGGGAAGGGGGAATCATAGCATCAGAGGTATGGCTGAATCCAACCACCACCCGCAGAAGGTTTTTCCAATGCTTATGAAAGAAGTGGAGGCTTCTAATCAGTATTAGCAATAGCAAGTCTACAACTCAGAAGTGATGGTTTTTCTGGACTATTTTACACAGGGGTGCATTAGTCGGGCAGAGAGCTGGAACCATGCATGGACACTGAGGGCAAACATAAGGAAATGAAATGTTGCTTCTGCCAAAATATGAACAGCACATATTGGATCTGCTTTGCTTTCGAAGCCAATGAGTCCTTGGTAGGAAAGGCAACCTAGACAGATACGCTTGAACTCCAGCAGAGTCTCTGGAACAAAGCCCTGAGATTGCTCCAACTAGAAGAAGTGGCTCTTCAAGATCTCAGCCAGAAGCCTGACGCCGGCCTAAAGAGGACAACTTTCAGCAACACACCCTCCCCGCTCCGCAAAAAAGAGCACACCGAAGAAGCCGACGCATTTTCCACACAAACCGCCGCTTTCCCCGAGCTCCCTTCCCTGAGGAAACTGCAATCCCTCCAAATTTAAAATATATTGGGCTACGTCGAACACACACACAGGAGATGCCTCTCGATGGACTTCGGAGTCTGTCCGAGGGCTCCCTCGGTAGTTCAGATGTTAAGAGAAACGGCGAAGAATCCATGTGGACGGGGTGGGGTGGGGGGAGAAGCGGGGAAGGGGCTTCTTATGGGGCGGGGGGGGGGAGAGGAACGTCCAAAGAAGGCAGCTCTAGCCGCGCCCGCCTCACGCGAGGACCCTCTTTTCCAACAGGGCATGGAAGCGGCGACTCCCTCTCGCGCCTCCGTCTCGACTCCGTGGCCGCTGCCGCCGCCTCTGGCACGGTCTCTCTCGCTCGCCCCGAGTGACTCTTGCCAGAAACTTTGGCAGCCGAGGACGAGCGCGAGAACGCGGGCGCGGCGAGCGCCCCGCGGCTCCCCGAGAAAGACTCTGAGGGAAACTCTTACCTGGCTGACGCGGGACGCGCCGCGCGCTGGCTGGCTGGCTGGCTGACTCGCTCGCAGGTGAAGCGACGCTCCCCACAGAAGCGGCGGAGTCCGTCCAGGCAGGCAGGCAGGCACTATATCCCCCTTCGGCCAGGCGGCGCCAACGACGAGGCGCTCCTTCTCGGCTTGCACCTGTGCGCCAGGCGAGGCAAATGCTCCCTGGCGCCTTCTCCGTCTCCCTGTTCCTCTTTCTCCCGAGCGGCGGCGAGCTAGAAACCCCGCCGCTCTCCCTTCCTTCCTTCCTCCTCCTCCTCCTCTCGCCTTCCCCCCCGACTCTCTCCCAGTCACGTCTCCACACAGCCCCGGCAGCCGTAGGGCGACTCCCGCCTTCGCGCTCTGCCTAGTGCCGGAATGTCCGAGCCGCCGCCGGAGCAGCATCCACCTAGCGCTCCCCCGCCCCCTCCACTCGCACGCCAAGAGCGGGCAGCTGCCGAGCGCGCCACTCATTGGTCCACCCGCCGCTGACCTCACCGCAGCCGCGCACGCCCACCTAGTGGATTTCCTAGGCAGCCTTTATTATAGGGGCGCCCGCCTACCAGCCCGCCCGCGCTGCCCAGCGAAGCCCTGGCACCGGGGCTCTCGGCCCCAAGCTAGGCGCGCTTTTGCGCCGCTCGGGTCCATCCATTGATTGCACCACAAGTACAGTAGCCTCTTGGCCTCCTGGCCAATGTCCTGTTTTGGGGCGGGGCACGGATGAGATGCACGGCGGTGGAAATCTATTAAAAGAGATTAAAGGGAGACAGCTGGAAGCTAATCACCATCGCAAACAGTTGGGAGCAAGGAGGGAGGGGAGACAATTACAGCAGACACTGTAGGCTGGAAGGAGGTGACTGAAGAGGCTTGCGATATGAGCTAGACAAAGTAATATTTCTCACAGACCTGCTAGCTTTGTCGCCAGTCACTTCTTTGGTGGCCAAACGCATGGCCCATTGTGGGAAGTGCGCCAGCAGAACCTGAGCCCAACAAAACTCTTCCCACTGGAGATTCCCAGCGACTGCTTCCAGGAGTGGAGGTAGAGCTAGTAGCCAATGAGATCCTTCTCCTCCCCGAATTTGTCTAAGCTTCTTTTAAAGCCATTCAAGTTGGTGGCTAGAACTACCCCTTGTGGGGGTGAATTCCATAGCTTAACTGTGCAGGGTATGAAGAAGTACTTTATTTTGTCTGCCTTGAGCCTTCCAGCATTCAGCTGTATTGGATGGTCCTAGGTTCTAATATTAACAGACAGGAAGAAAAGCTGTTCTCTTGTCACTTTCTCCATACCACTTTCTAAGCCTCCTTCCGGCAACTCCCACAGCCAAGCTGGTGCCAAACATATTGCTCTGCTTTCCTTTGGGCCACATCAATGAGGTAGGGGTCTTGTCCTCTGGGTAGCCCAGAACCTCCATACACACCACCCAGGCTTGCACCCCAGAGAGGTCACTAATGCAGGAGTTTGACTTCACCTCCAGAGGCACACGCCGTTGTTCTCAAGACAGACAGATCCCAACAACCAACCAATAATACAGATTTTTGTGAAATAAAACAATGGAGATTCATTATTACGTGTTAAGGAATAATGTTTTCATGCAAAAGTTGGAGCATGTACCATACATCCACACATAAAAGCCAATAAAATGCAAGTCAGCTGTAAAATACCAAAAACAATTGCGTGCAACATTTTTTCCCCAGTCTGAAAGGATTATTCTCTTATTCTACCCTGTATTTCATTTACTCTAGATGGTATTGCATCAAGATGCAAGAGCATGAGCTTTATTTGTCCACCTTGGGTGCATCAGACCACAAGCCAAACATACCAATGTACTAAAGGAGTATGCTAATAGGGAATAAAATGTGCCCTTGAGTGTCTTAACACACCAATAGAAATTGGCATTCATAAAGTGCCATTATCCAAAGAGCTTACATACTGATGAAGTTTACAAATTTAAGATCTTCTCCTGCAACTGTTATTCATAGACGTACTTTTAATAATGTCCATTGGACAACCCATGATTCTATACCTGAAAGCAAAACAGATTAATGTTAGTAGTAGTTTCCTTCTCCCCCCCTACAGATTATTTAAAGGGCCTTATGATAAAGTAGTGTAGTTACTTATGAATGTGTTCTGCAAAGAGTTCTCTGCAAGGTTGCCGTATGCTAATAAACTGTCAAGTAAAGCTACTTTGAATGTTGCACTGCAGGTGTTGTTGTTGTTGTTGTAATATATACCATCATTATGGGTAAGAATGAGCTGAGATAACTCATGTTTGCTATGTAGTCCTTTCTAAAATTAAGGTCCTTTCCAAATTACCGTACTCAATTAATGTACAGTGTGTGCATGTGTTTATTCATTCATTTCTTTTGAATTTGCCACATGGCAAATTCATGGGCGGGGGGTAGAGAGCTTACAAAATTAAACAAAAGGTAAAAATAGTTAACTCAATGCATGCAATAATTAGCAATGCAATCTCAAAGCAGTGTATACTATGTACAATATAAAAACAATATTTAAAAATAAAACATAAAAACATATAAAAGCAAATAAAACAGATTCCAGGGATTCAGAAACCAGGGCCAAGTCTTATAGGTGAGGGAAAGCCTGTGCAAAAAGAGAAGAACTGAGCATTGCTGCTTCACATATGGCAGAAAGAAGGGCATTCCACAGAACAGGGTTAACACCAAAAAATGCCTGGTTTTGGCTCACCACCCTATGATATTCTGTAGTGCCAGTAGTAGAATGTTCCAGCTTTTCCTGGCAAGACAACTACATCCATTTCTGGACTAGGATAGCCTAACCACTGTTGCCCATGTGTTGGTAACATTGGGGTTGACCCAAAGCTGCAGGAGTGCAAACTGCAGTGGTTTGACTGCTCACTGTGGTATAATGTCACCATATTTCACTGATGCTTAAAGAATTGCACTGGCTGCCAATTAGCTACCAGGGTAAGTTCAAGGTAAGATACCTAAACCGAAATGTTTTAAGCAGGTATCATAAGTAAGACAGCAAATGCACTTACTTATATATAACACTGTTGTGTATGTGGTTTTTATTTTATTGTGAAATTGCTTCAAGGTGCTCCATAGGAAGTGATTAATAAATGTAATAAATAATCCAAATACATGGGCAATAATCGTTCCTAGTTGCCCATCCATCAGCCTGCATAACCTGAGTAAGACTTAAACCTACTCCCTATAAAAGTTATATGAAGGATGAGCTGCCACAATTTCACTTCCTGGAGAGCTACCCACTAGAAAGCGATTTTCTTTCTGAAGGTGCCCTGGTGGATTAAAGATTTATGCAGAATGTGAAGGTGTAGATCTACTTGAATGCATTTTTTTTGGACTGGAAGGAAAGAATTTTGTAGTTCTTTGTGAGAATTTCCTGGCAAAGAAAATAGATGGGTGGGAGTTTAGTTCTGTTTATATTCTCTGGTGTGAATCGTTCTTTCTATCAGCAGTGTGAAACAGGGAGTTAGCACTGAAATTCTCACACTTACGTCAATAAAATGATATAAATTATATGAGATAAGGGTTTCTAAGGCTTTGATCTTTCTAGCACATGGCCAGAGCCATATTAAAGCCATGCTGATCATATGCTGATGCTCAAGACATTTCTGTACTCAAGCAACTTCTGACACGATTCCAGGAAACAGAAGGAAAATACTGCTGTTGAAGGGGGAAAAGTAATGTGAGGATGGGACAGATGAGAGTGTGGATTAAGAACGGAAGATAATTTTGGCACAAATATGAGAATTGATTGTTCCACTCAAGCCCCGCTTCAGTGGCTGAAAGATCTTCCTGCTCAATTCAGGAGACAACTGCAGCACTTCTGACAGAGCTCCATTCAGCTGCCAGCAAAAGAGACCATTCCACATCCCAAGACAGACTCTTCCACTGTCAAACAACCTTTACCATTAGAAAATGTCTCCTAATGTTTAGCAGTACAAAAAGGCTAGGGTCCTTGGCAATATACTTGGTCTTGGTTTCATAGCTGCATTTACCTGGAGCAGCAGAGAAACCAGTGCACACAATGATTATATTCAGATATAATGCTAAACCATAGTTTAGTGCTATGGGATCTAGCCTTGAGTTGGACACCCTTTCTGCTCTTCTTCCAACATGGTAACAAGGAAGATATTTGTTCTGTTCAAATCCATAACTGAAGTTTGTTTTCATTGCAGTTTAGAAGCCAGAACCACAAACCATGGTTTGAAGTTGATTTTAGACCCTGGATTCTTCTGATCAAACAGGAAGCTTTTAGAGACTTATTACTGAGGTGCCTCATGAAGAGAGGTGTGAAGTGGCTGTATGTGCCATTTGTTCAACTACACATTTAATAAGCTAAGATACAATTGTCCAAATGTAGCCATGGGCTTTTCCGCAAAACCATAGCCAAGACTAACAACAACTTGTTCAGGTTTCAATGTAATGGTGATCAGGAGCACGAAGTGAAAAGTCAAATGTATTGTCATCTAGAACCTAACACTCCCTCTGCAGATGGAAGCAGATTCATCCATTCTGGAGGCGCATATGTTTGCAACTCCTGGCAATTAGGATGTTGCTTCCATGCAGTTCTGAACATCCTGCCTGATTCCTGAATGCCTGAATCGTGACTTTTGAACTCCGTGTCTGCTGCCAAGCCTGTAGTGTTGTGTGTGTGCAAGTGAAAGGTTGGACTGAGTGACATGCAAACAGGCTATGATTGAATCTGAACACAGTGAAACCAAAAGCTTCCAATCTGTCCCTCATCCTTGGTGGGGGTGGGGGGATGCGTCGGGGTGTGCATGTGGTGGTGGAGGCAATACAAGCCATAAGGCCCATGCACCTAACACTAAAGCATAGTTTAGCATTATGTGCAAACCAGGCAAGTACGTATATTGAATACTGATGCACAGCATCATAATGGAGTATCGGCTGCTCCAACAAATTCACACCATGGTAGGCTTGGCCAGCTTTCTTTGCACCATAATAATTCCGTGGCTGTCTTTATTCACAATAGTGTCAGTTAACTGCCCTGTGATTATTATTACCTAACTGCATTTTAATCCATGATACTAAAAAACCCTAAAATGAATATACATTCTACCCAATGCATGTCTTACATTTAATCACAGAGGCAGGAGATTCAAGATATCCTTTAGAGGTCCTAGTATTCTAAAGTAAGCTT